TTACAATCTGCAAAACAGCACAGAACACTTCTTAACCTTCCCAGGACCTACGACTTAACTTTAAACAGCCACAAACAATCTGATTAACAAGAAGATGTGCAGAATTGCCCAGTGGGACACTTTACAATGGCAAGTATTTAAAGTTGCAGTATATCCATAAAGGAGCATGGTTAAAAAATCCATTTATGGATAAACACTTAGATTTAATCATTGTGTTGGCCCGAAGAGANTTTTTTTTAGGTGGGTTTGGAAATAGAGGAGAGAGCGAGACAGGAGGGAATTCAGAAGTCAAGGCAAAGTGGCTGCAAGGTTGTCTGCTATTGGTGGGGAGGAGAGAACACTGGGGCGGGGGTGTGGAGTGCAGGAGATGGACACTGGGGCGGGGGTGTGGAGTGCAAGAGATGGCCAGTATACAGTGGGGCAAAGCTATGAAGACATTTGAGGATATGAATCTTAGCGACGTAAGGTCGTTTTGTCTCCAAGTGGACTGTCTCAGCCTCGAGAAAGATTTTTATACATATATATATATATATATACTGCAGTTCACATGCTGTGGGTATTTGAGATTTCAGAGATTTTAAAAATGATTCATGACAGTTTCTTTGTGTATTCGTGAAGGGGAGGGAATAGAGGGGTATAGGTGAGGGGAATAGGAGGGAGGAGGCTGTTGTGGGGTATAAACACTGCCAAGGACTAGTGGGGCCAAATGGCCTGTTTTCTTGCCTTATCATTCCATGTAACTCTCTGACAAGTTATTTTTAATGTATATTAGGACCTAAAAATGGGTGGGATTGTGATGATATTGTGACATCCTTAAAATGGTATCAAGGCTTCTCCTTGCCAAAAAAAGGAGTTAAAAGGCGTTAACAAGAATGGTGAGGATGTCTTGAATAGAGAAGGATTCATGATTATGTATTATTTTACTTACACAAACCTTTTTCTTACAGTAATCGCCTTTACATCCAACCTTCCAATTAATAGGAATCTGGGATGAAATGCTTCTAAATACAAGGCTGAAACTTCCACTGATGGAATTTAAACTTCATCTGAACTACTTACTGCTCATTGTTGCATAAATGAAATTGTCGGATTGAGCTCCAACATTTTGAAAATGCAGTTTCCAAAATAATTTTGCAGCCAAGGTTAATCATTATAAACAACTTGATTAAATAATTACAGAAGAAAAATGATCACAGATGGTTTACGGAGTCCAGCTTACTTTCCCAAAGAACTGGTCGTTGAATCATTTATATGTGAGGAGAGCAAGCAGTCATGATACAGTGTCAAACAATAAGCACAAAAAGGCTTGTGTTACAGTAGTTTCAAAGTAATCTCTTACAGCCACAGTACGCACTTTCATTCAAACCCAATGTATGGTACTTTCCTCCTGTTTAGTGTACTTATATAAGGTCGAAGCTGACTTCACAGATATTTTCACTATGCAAAACACTTTACAATAAGTACTAAAGTTCATTGTGGTGTTTCAAAGTTTTTTTCTAAGTTAGTAGTTTTCTGCAAATATTTAGTACCGAAATTCCAACGTGTCCTAAAGTACATAAAAGTACGAGAGGACCAGAAAGGTACATAAGCAATTTATACTGATGAAATGGTCTCTGTTACTTCTTAACTAAGACTCTTTTTAGAGGAGAAAAGAAAAGGTCCAAAAAAAACAGGGCTGAGATGGTGTAACCAGCCCAGCAGAGTCAGTCATGCAAGTCAAATACTACCTGGGCTAATAGATCCAGTGATTGGATAATAAGTAGAGTCCGATGAGATTAGGATAACTTTTTTCACACGCAGAGTTGTTAGGATGTGGGTTGAGCAATGGTTGAGGCGGGATCCATTTGAGTAATCTACAGGGGTAAGGGGTAAAGTTAGATAGATTGGTCTGAAAATATTGCTCTTTAAAAAAAGCCAGCCCAGGCAAGGTGCGCCATATGGCCTTCTTCTGTGCTGTACATCTCTATGGTTCTGTGCTACCACTATGTACAACATGCTGCTGAATGGATCAGAGAAGACATTTGATTTGCTTTCTTCACCATCTAACTACACCTTGGGGTAGGCTCACATTCCTGTGAAGTACTTGGAAAATGCTGTTTTGGGTGTTTATATTGTATTCTATGTCCCTTCCTCAGTCATCTTAATAGACCAGCCTTATAACTGTTCATTTTTAATTGTGATGTGAGCTAATTCAATAAGCAGTCACCTTGTTAGGTCACCTCATTCATTCAGATTCCCAGCTCTTATGTAAAGCTCACTTTATACTTTCCTTTTTTTTGGTGAATGTTTTTGTGCATTTGGCTGCAACGTGTTTTAAAATGGCTTTAAATAGCTCCTGCTTTAATTTTTTAATCCGCATTTTTTAAGCATCTTCAAATGCTTTTAAGCATTCAACATTTTTTCAGCATGAATAAAATGTATTTATTCAAATTTTGGACAAATTTTGCATCCGAGAACGGATTTTTATTGAAATGATCCCTTTTGCAAATCAGACCGTTTAAAGTATTAAAAAAAAGCCACACCGCATCAGTTCATTTCATTTGTTCAACTTCAATGAGTTAACACTCATAGTGAAGTTAAATGATACCACTGAGTGATACTTTTCTGTTGACCGTATACAAATTCAGCGAAACGGTCCCAAAAGAATGTGAAAAGTTCAAGTTCAACAGAAGTTCACAGAAAAGTACCAGAATTTAATTAAAGGATACTTATTAGTGATGTTATTGACTCTGCCAGCTCCCCTGTTTTCTTACAAAATAAATGATATATAAAATAATATCTGCTCCCATTGAATCGCACATCTAAAATATTGAGCTCAAAATTATGTTGCATGACATGCAAGTGATTAGAAGTTACACTGGCAGTAACTAGCTTGATGCTCATTTTGAATAGGGCACATTAGTAACAGAATATTTATAGTATTTTTTAATTATTTGAAATTTGTAAAATCAGCTTCAAATACTCCTTTCCCTACAAAATAAGTCACTCCCAGTTTTGAGTAAATTCTGTGAAACAATTTGAGACATCCTCTTGGTGGAAAGGGCCTATGCAAAATACCAGCTTTATTCTTATTAAAATCGTCCAATTTGTCATCTTATAGTCTTTCAGAAAATACTGTAAAAGTTGCAAGTGCGTAGCACTGAATTAAAGACCCTATTTGTGTGTTTCACAAAATGCAACACGACCATTGAAGTAATTACTGAATGCTGTAAAATAAACTTTATACTGTATTGAGATGGTTTCTCCTTCACATTGTACATTCTGGTGTAGTGGTTGCACTCTTGCCTCTGAGCCAGAAGGTTTGAGATGACTCAATGACATGAGAAGGCGCTATATCAAACGCAAGGATTATAATTGCTATTTGAATCCGATATAACTTTTTAACTGAATCTAAACCGTATGAATTTACATTGTTAGAATCCAATATCTATTGCCTTTAAAATATCGCTGAATCAATTGTTTCTCTAGTCGCAGGAAAGTCTACCCATTTTAAAGCACGAACAAAGCTGTACTGCCATCTGCTGGTCTACTCTATTCTCAAACTAATCTATACACCAGAACAGGGTTCAACTGAGGTAACAATCAAGAACAGATGTCTCAGAAAGTTGACCCTGGTGTGAGCGAGGCTTAGAAAAATTAGGTATCTATGGTCAATTCTCAGCTTCCCTATAGGCTAATGCACACACACTCCACTAAAAATGCTGGTTAGTTCTGCGTCCCTCGATCTTTATGTAATACGCGTATAGACAGATCGACAGGTAATGGCAGTGTCTGGAAGAGAAGTGTATAAAGGCTTCAGTGTGTGTGAAACTTTGCTACCAATATTTCGTGCCAACTTTGAGGTTACAGCTGTCGAGTTTCTGTGTTCTTAGCACAAGTACTAGAAGTACTCTTGTAACAAGTTTTATAGTCTTACAGAGGACTGACAGCCTGATCGACCACGTCCGTGAAATTGTGAGAGGTTGTCGTGATAAGGCCATCTCATCACATTACGTTGCTATCAATTTGACCGTAGAGTCTGCTGCCTGCTGTTCCTACCACTAGACAGACAACCAATCCTCCCATAAATCTGCAGAGATTACCGAACCAAAGAACTCAATCTTAATTGGAGAGAAGGTTGAAATGGTGCGTATCACCATTTGTCCCTGCCCTTTCTCTTCTAGGTTTATCTGCTTGAAGTAATCTACAATCCTATCAGATGAGGTACTTTATTTTCCACTCTATAGAGGGTTGGGATCCCAGCTGGGATCCTGGATGAGAATGAACACATATGAACCCATTCACCAGCTTTAGATATCGAAAACACGACAGTCTACAAGCAAACAAAAAGTAAAACACGCCACACAACTAAGTACAATAACAAAATTACACTTATAGAGCGCCTTTCACGTCAGGAGGACGTCCCAAAGCGCTGAACAGTCAGGTGTCGGGGCCCGAGCATGGGGGAGGGGTGGTGTTGGGGTGAGGGAAGGCAGAGAGGTGGGAGGGAGACCAAAGGCACGGTCGAAGAGAAGGGTCTTGAGACCGGCCTAACTAACTAACTGACTAAATAAATAAATAGTTCTACCACAAAGCACATTCAATTAAATTGGACCATCATTTCAAGGGAGAGATGCGTGGAAAGGGAAATCCTGTGATTATTCATCTTTGCCCCAACATTGTCATTCAAAAGGAGCAGCATCTACAGATATCCTCTTGGGCAATTGGTTTCCTCCTACAACATGTGGAAGTTAAGGAAATAACAGCATTTTATCAGTTTGGATTTCAATTGACGTTTTTATTAAATTGCAACAGCTGGAGGAACCATTTCTAAAACCACAATTGCTATGTCAAATATAGTAAAAGCAGTTTGTTTTGTTCTGTTTGAACAGGTGGCAGTAAGAGAGTAAAAGGAGTGTTTGCTTTACGCAAAATAAAATTGTCACTGGAGTGACTGTTTGGACAACATTTTGCCCTTTGTAGCATTACTATTACATGAAAGACCAGCAAAACATCCACGAAGATTTAAAAGTTCAGGAAATTTTATTGCAATGTTTTAGACATTGATAAACATATTGGGTAAAAACCTTAAGAAACAGGGTTTAGGAAAGGTAAGCTATGAAACAAAAGGGCTATTCTTGCTCCATTTTATTATGACCAGTATCCATAACAGAAATTTGGACTAAGAAGGCATTTCATTCCAATTTGGTATCATCCTTTGATGCTCACCCTTCCCTCCTCCTATTGCAGCATTAAGGTTTTAGTCTCAAAGAAGCAGTGGCTTATTCCTGAAGTACAACTACAAAACAAATGCTGAATATTCTTCTTTAACTGCCTTTGCCATTAGTGCCTGAAAAAGGCTGACCAACTTGATTCTGAAGGTTGCAAGTGTACTAATGGACCCATTTCTCTAGCAGATATTACACAATTCAAGTTACTGCATAAACACCAAAGGGAATTGACAGTAAGAAGAATTTCCTGCACAGCAAGAGAAATAAAAGGGTCAACATGAATAACTCTCCTTTGTTTCAGTTAGACATGCCTTAACAAAAACATTCCACAATGTCTATCGAATACTGCATTAGATTTTTGTAAAAGGCACAATTGCAGTGAAAGTATACATTGTACGAGATAATGAAATCTAAGGTCAAGTTACAAAATAACCGAATGGATTGAGGATATGAAGTAAAAAATAATACACTGGCGTCTAATTGGAGATATGCAAAAACATTCTTTTGCAAAAGACTAAATCCTGGATACACTGTGACTGAACCTCAGGAATTGATTTCAAATTCCTTTAGCTCAGCATCTGATCTCAGTTGGTATTTCTGTGAGGTTGCAGAATGTGGGGCATAACGCATTCACAATTCACTCTTTACAAATCCTCTGGCGAATTTTGTAAATTTGATCCTTCCGTTACAACATCTTGCACATCGATTCTTATCTAAATGCCTATGAAAAATAAATGCCCTCATTTCAATTTACTCTTACATTGTTTTTCCCAGTGGAAGTTACATTTTAAAAGTCTGTGCACTTTGTCAATTCAGAGAGGAGTGTCTACTCAAGTTTTCCTTAAGCTTTGAAATAAAACAGCATTCTACGCAAACATTAAATAAGGATAAACACACAAGAATAGAACATAATTTAACCCCACAACAAATTAAAGTCTGCAGCATATCAAACAATAAGGAAACTGGTACAAGTTGAATTGGCTTTCACCAGCACTTATACACTGATGTGTAGTGCTAAAACTGCCCCATTTTATTAAAGCATTATGTATAAACCTTCAAGCAATGTTTATTTGTCGAAAAACTCAGTTCTCTCTAGAATGCTAGATTATATATTCAGGAGACTGAACCTTGTCAATGGCTTCTGAAAATCAGAATCCATTGTTCTTTTCATTTGAATTCATGCAAAAGTAAAGATTCATTTTCCCAAACAGCAACATTTGTCACACATTAGTGCATAATGGTATCAGTCTCAACGTCCTGTAAACTTGCTGATTGAAAATGGAGACAAATGCTTCACATAAATTATGCTTTCACTTTAACTCTCTTGTTCAAGAAACACCATCATATTATGAACACAAATACAAAAACCTAATACAACACTTCTAAAAATAAACATTTGTTTAAACTGTAAAACATTGCTATTTCCCAGTGCACCTACCAAATAACTGATTGGAATGGTACAGTATTTACTATTTACAGTGAGAAGAATTTTAGGGTGCCATTATTTAACTAATTGAAAGAATCCTAATGAAATGGGTTCTGAAGATTTAATGTCTGCAAATATTAATTGCATTTTCAAAGTTTCACTGAAATTCGGTTACAGAGGGTGAATAAACAGCAGTCAAAAATGTTTGCAAAGGATGCTCAGGCCCACAAAGTGAAGCAGAAAATACATGACCTGATGATGTGCATTAAGGAATCTTTGAATGAATATTGACAAAGCAGCAAATTCTAACTGAGAGCTATATTTGACTGAACTTCTGTTTCACCAAGTTATCAGTTTGTCTGATTAAGATACAGCAAAATAGTGGCAAACAAAATATTCGAAAAGGGTTAGTTCCACAGTTCAAAGATTGTCCTGAATATATAATTAACAGATCAGTAATTATGTTTGGATTACCGGGCCAATAACATGTACGTGTTAGAAACATGTTTTTTCACCGACAAGGTGCCAAGATATGGACTGTACTTCACTAAGTCAGACAGTTTTATTCTGTTTTTGTGCACAGCTTTCTCCTTTATGCAAGGCTGAATACTCTGGCAGGAGTATTAAAACTCACAATTCATATTTCACATCTTATTTTTCATTAAAAATAGAATTCAGTCCACTGAAAAGATTCAGTCATAATCTGCATCATCCATTCCAGCATTCCTCTTCTTTTGGATTTGATGTTTCTGTCGCTGTAAGTTGTCATCTAGTGTTACCTCGAGAAAATGTCACTTTCCATTTTATAGTTCATCCTGAAATGAAAAAAAAGCTTATTAAACCCAAACAAATAATGCACCCAATTACTGAACATTTTTTTAAATTGCCCAGGACACCACCTTTTAATTTTTATATACCTAGTTAATGGGTTTCTCATTTGAACCCAATGCTTGATTGCTTTCTGTTCTCTCTCTGCAAGAGAGGTGGAGCTTACCAATGGCTTCTTAAACTTAGCAAAAGTGCTCAGAATGCGTTTTTACACTTTTATTGATTCTGACAATGACAGTTCAGCATTGTACACGGTGCAGTTGCAGCTTTATTCAGTCTATTCACAGGTTATATATAACAGTCATGGAAGCCAATATATGTATGAATTTCAAGCAACTTTGCTCCAGGCCTTTTTTACCCCCACTCGTGTTCAGTAACCGTATTAAGGTAGTGGCAATGGTGAAATGAATGGTCTCAAAAGATCTTTAAATGCATGAAATCAACACAATGTCATCACATCATTTCCTTAAGGGCACATTATATTCCTGTCGCCACCTCTGAGCATTCAAGCTAACAAGAGCGACAGCAGCAACAACTGTGGTCAAAGAGACAACCTTGACGTAAAAGGCTAGGAGCATTATAAATGTTCGAAAAATAGCTTAAGTCAGAGAGCAGAGAGAGTGAGAAGGAATACTTAGCATCAAGCTGCCATACATTTGGGAGAGTGGTGGAGAACACAAAATACATTTTCTAAAAAAAATGGCTATGATGATATCACAGTAGTTGATTCCAGATGAACATACCTAGATACAAGCTCAAGGTAATTATAGGGATAATTGAAAGGATAATATCAGTTTATTTTTCTATCATCAAGATAGCCATCTGTTTGCAATAAAGTATTTTTGCACACTTACAATAAATACCAATTATGCTTGCACCAAATCTCTTCATCTGGAACCAACTAGGATTTAGGATACAAAGACGTAAAATATCTCCAATGCCCAAAGGTCTCACCGATGCTCTTACACTCGTCAATTTAAAGTGATTGCATTGAATGTTTACAACTTTAGGCAAAGTTGTTGTAGTGGATTCATTAACTTTGTTTAGATGAGTCATTGGAAAAATGCAACAAAAAATACGTTGATCACTAACAAAACCATGTGCTTGTATTTTCTACAACCTATCCATGGCCTCATTTAGTTTATTTTAAGTTCATTTTCCACTGTCGCTGGTGCGCGGAACACAAGATTCTGTGAAACATTATGGATGAAATCCTCTTGGGATGAAGGGAATGTCATGTATGGAATTCAACAGTAATCGGTTTGAACTAATGTAGATTGCAATGTTAAGACTGATAGCCTTGAGTGTTCGTTCAATTTCTTCCAGAGGTAAGGGATCAAATTCATACAACTTTAACCTCTTGAAAGTAATACCTGCAATTTCCCAATTTTCCTCAGAATAATGAATAAATTATAGAGTCCACAAAGTTTAATATTTTGTTAGGTATATGGATCAATGTTTTTTTCTCCTGTCACTCTGTGTCTGTTTTAAAGCACTGTATAATCAGATTTCATGCATACCCGTTTGCAAAGTAATTTTCCCCCCTCACAGTCTGATCCATTACATGGATATCCTGGATCCTGATCTACCTATCAGTGCAGATTAATGCAACCAACAGCAAATTGCCAGGAAAATACAACACAGGCATGTTCAAAAATACTAAAATGTTCTAAAATATAATGGGGCACGGGGGAAGAGAAGACATTTTCCCCACAGGGAATATATAAGATTGCTTGTTTTGCTATCATATAATGTGCAACAGTGATCTGTTATCTAGGTTATATTATATTTATTTAATTCATTACCTTAGTTTTAGTTTTAAATGTGTTTCGTAACTTTGGTTCCACTTCTTCTAACCGCTTGTTCATCAGCTGAGATAATACTTTGGCTTCTTTGCTGTTGAGATTTTCTCCAATAGGATTTTTCTGCAAGAAAGGGGGAAAATATTGTTTGCAAGAATAGCAACATACCCTGTACTAGGGTCCAAACAAATAAAAGCTCGTTACAAGGAGGTGGGAGTTCTAGCAGAATCAAAATGCTTTAATTTATTTTTTCTCTCTCCACTTTCTTCTTCCCTGAAGGCAGGTTCCATTTTCTAGAGAATGGAGATTGGAGCAGAGTGAATGCAATACTGAGCGAGCATTTCTCTGATGACCATTTCTATCTAGTCTAAGGGTTCTAATGGGACTAAGTATTGGAAAATAATAATAATCCTTGCATTTGATATAGCGCTTTTCACGTCGGGAGGACGTCCCAAAGCGCTTCACAGAACATACTGTAAAGTAAATTGACTGCATATTTGTGGGCGAATGCAGCAGCCAATTGCGCACAGCAATGTCCCATAAACAGTCGTAGATTGAAAATGACCAATTTATTATTGTTTTTGGTTTTTGGAGGTATTATTATTAGGCTCTGTGTGGAGTAAGGAAACTTGCCCAAGGTTTCGCCCTCTGCCTGGAATTGAACTCAGGTCTCTCGCTTGCAAAGTGAGTGCTCTAACCACTGAGCTACAGGACTCCAAAATATCAAAATACTCAAGGAGCAAGAAAACTAAAGGGAAATTAAGAGTATTATTAAGACCTTACTTAGTCAATTATTGAAATTTGCTAGATTGATTTTTTTTTTACCTTCTTTTCTCCTTGAAATGGATAGAATTTAACCGTAGGATATGCCCTGATGCCAGCAGTTTGACAGGTCTGGGGATAGCTCTGACAGTCCACCTTTCCTGCTTTCACTTTGTCTTTGACCGACTGCAAGACAATGAGTTAGACTTAGATTAGAATAACTTATTTATTTCATATTTCTAGGAATAGTGCTCCGTGGTTTGATATACAGTAAAAATAGATTTAAACATGCAAACAATCCAAAGAAAACCTTCTCCCTTTGGGGTACACTTCTTCCATGGAAAGAATTTTTGAGTTTGCAATTGTGCTTATTATACAATTTTTAAGAAGTCACTGAACACTTTAATCTTGAAGCCAGATCGAAAGGTACAATGCAGACTTAAGTCGCACCAAACTCACCTTTTTTTAAAAAAAAAACAGTTTAACTACTGAAGTTCAGAACTCAAAGTTATGAGTAATTGTAAAATGGATTCTGGCAGTGAGCAACATAACATCTAAGTCTATTTACTAATACCAATTTGTTTTTCAGCAGAACTCACAAAAGTCATCCTACTGTCAAGGGGGATAAACAGTTTCCAAAATTGAAAACATCCACAAGAGAGGCAGATATGAATGGAATATGCAAATCAATTGCAAACAAAAATAGTACTGTAGACCATTGTTCTAATTACCCTCATATTTATAAGGTTTTCACACACAAAGAACAAGAGACATAATTAGTTTAAGTTGCTTTTGCTTCAAAAGCACCATTTGATAGTCTATGGGTGTAAAATTCAGAGACTTACACAGACATTGAGAGGAACAGATAAAACGACTCTTCAAATTGATGCTGGAATATTTTTCAGGAAAGGATACACAATCAAGTTTAGTACTTTACGTTGGGGTCACAAAAGCAAAAGTTCTATCCTGAGATAGTGTTGTTAAATTTATTTTAAGATTCATTTGCTAACTATTGGAATGTAATAAAGTGGCAGCCAGTCCTCTCCTCTCTCCGACGGTTTGGGCAAAGTGAACAATGAAAAAAAAATCACCATCTGCGTCCACAACTGAATGCCTCAATAATCTGCAGAAAGTTTGGTAGCATTCCACATTGCAAATTTCACTCATTAATCTTGAAGGGACTAAAAATTAACTTACGTTTACAGATGTCAGACTCTTATGCATAAACATGCCTGTTCACTCTCAGATCTCCACTGCCAATGGAAATATATTCAGAATTCAGTCTCTAGATGGCTGAGTGCTGTGAGCTTAACTGCTAGTACATGGTGATAGTGAGAAAAGAAAGTTCCCTTGTACTGTATGGCTAGCTATACCTGCTTACTTTTCAAATTTGTTGAACTGGGTAAAGAAAACAAAATAAAATAAACCTGACATAGAAAAATACTGTATGGAAAAGGGTCTAGACTATGTTTTATTCAGTGCAAGCATTTTAATAGTGCTGTAAAATAAAATAGGAATTGGGAGTTGAAAATTTTAAGTGTTTGTTCAAATTACTGATTTACAAGGTTCTCATAGAAAGAGCGATGCAGTGCGCTAAGCAAGTCTATTTAAATAACGAACAGCAACAAACAATATGAAGATACCATTGTTGGTCTATCAGTCTGTCATCTGAAGGTTCTAACTTAATATTTAAAATATAACACCAATTTGATAAAAGATACTTTAAAGTTTCCTGATAATTCTACAAAGCAATTGATAGTTTACTTAAGTCTAGAATTTAATTTTCAGAACAGCCCGTTTTGTGTCAATCACTGCTACTATTTCACAGAATTTTACAGTACAGAAGGAGGCCATTCGGACCATCGTGCCTATGCCAGCTCTTTGAAAGAGCTATCCAACTAGTCCCACTCCCCCTCTATAGAATCATAGAGAATGATCAATTTGATTAAACTGTAGTTAAGATTTCATAGAGGACACCCCATCATTGACAATCAAGATTTGGAAACAATGACAACTATAGCATGGAACAAAAAAAAATCATCTTTTTAAAGTATTTACCCTGGCTAGAATTTCAAACTCAGGAGCAAAGTTCTGGCAAGGGCCACACCATGGTGCGTAGAAGTCAATCACCCAGTGGTCTTTGCCTTTTAAAACATGGTTTGTGAAATCTTCAGGTGCAAGGTCCACAGCAACCGCAGGAAGAAATCTGGATGAAGATTAAAGAATTAAAAAAAAGGCAACTGTTTAATACTCACTTCATTTAATCCTTATAATAAAAATAACAATTCTTGTATTTGATACAGTGCCTTTCATGTCAGGAGGACGTCTCAAATCGCCTTACAAGATTTACTTGTACAATGACTGTGTTATATCTCTTTGGGAGTTGTCAACACATGCAATGCTATATTACTACAATTCCTGCATTATTTCAGTGTCACAGCTCAAAAGATGAAAACACACACAGAAGTCATCCCTAGATCCCCTTCGCCTTTTTACAAAAAACTAACTCAGTCATCTATGAATTGGAATGATATTACTGCCACTAACCAAATCCCAATCTGCTTCTGTGCTAAACTCTCACTGAGCAAACTGTAGATTAAAACTGAAATGTTATTTTTACTACACTCTTGGTGAGTGGTGCATTTACACTTTAGGAAATCACTGTACCTCTCTCTTAGCATTTAACCACAGTAAGTGCGGAGACTTACCCGAGCGCCCAGGACCTAAGTGATTGTGCATTTCTGAACCAACCATTGTAGCTACTGTGGAAGAGATAAAGAAATGTTAGAAACTGAATTAAATATGCAATGTGTTTACTTTGGTTTGCAGTCTTCCAATATTAGAAAAGTTGCATTTTTAAGATACTGGATAATTGGGATCCATGAAACTTGAAAATTCTTGGGTCATCTCTTGATGACCCATTGTAAAGGGATGGTTTAGGGGAGTGGAAGAAGAAGAATCATATCCACTGTACTTGTATTAAAAAGGAGCAAAACACCCAAATCAACTGAAACCACATTGAAATGACTATCACCATCAATGGTTACATGTATAGCAAAAGGTATGTTATACGATTAGACAGTCCCAAATTACTTATTTTGACTAAAGTCACAACAATTTAACGTTAAACACTTAGTCTGAATGAATACTTGCAAAAAAAATGATTTTGGAAATTATGGGTACAATGTAAAACAATGTATTATTCATTAATAAAGTTACCATTGGTGCTCTTTACATGGCTATTACACAAAGGTCTCCAGAATACATACTGGTATTTGTAAACATCCCTCGTGTTCTGTGGGTATAGGCGGATCTCTGGATAAGCCTGAACATTTTCTTTTTGACATTGAGAATAGTACTTCTGACAGTTCACACTACCGACTTTGATCGTTCCACTCAGCATCTAGAAGAAAAGCCGTTACTGCTGATAGCCGAAAGAGTTGGGAAAACTTTGTAGTATTTCACTTTGTTTTTAGTAATGTTATCAAATAGAATTACACTATAAAGTGTTGTTAATACGTGTGGTGTCGATCAACCAATTAATATTTTAATTGAATTATTCTAGTAGCTGGGTGGGATGGTAAAGAACAAATTGTATGTGTAACCATTCTCCAAATCAGTTCACTTCGTCAAATCCAGATGAAAATATATTTAAACAGGAAACATTTGGGTTCTATTATGAACCTGTATTTATACCATCCCACAAACGAATTAAATAATCAGGATGTCATTTAAATATTTCTAGAAAAAGAACCCGCAACCTCCTCTGTATGACAATCAACTTATTATGTTTTTTTGATTTACCTTTTTTTTTGGTATAGCATTATAGCGTTTCACCCACAAAATATACAGTCAATTCACTTTACGGTATATTCTGTGAAGCTCTTTGAAACGTCTCAAAGATGTGATAAGGTTCTATATCAAATGCAAAGATTATCATAAGAGCATCTACTGAAAATAGTGCTTTAAACAGTTTAGGTCAGAATAGGGAATTTAAAAAGTTTTTGTTTTACCCGGGCCAGCTTCTTCCATTCTGGCAGCAAAGCCTGACATGGACCACACCACGGAGCATAGAAATCCACCATCCAAATTTCATCTTGTTCTCTGCTGAACACCAAGTCTTCAAAGTTTGCCGCTGTCAGAGTGACTACTGAGGGATTCATGAGATCCTGCGCAAATAATGACAAACGTACCAAGTTAAATTAATGTCGAAACCGAAATAGTTAGTAAAAATAATTTCAATGTTTACATATGGCAAACCTGAATAAACTCCAAGAGCTCATCCGCAGTGTGAAGGCCTTCATATTCGTGGATGTTAGACTGGTTGAATATTAGTGTCGTTGGATAAGCTCGAACACCATGCTGAACAGAAATACAAAAATAAATCAACAATCTTGAATGTGAAAGCATTTTGAGCCTGTGGTTAACTGATGCGAAGATTTCATACTCACTGTGTTGCACAAATCGTCATGGATTGTACAATCCACTGTCCCAAACTTGAGCTGGCCAATCAATTGCTTCGAAGCTTTTCGCACTTCGGGCAACAGAGCTCGGCAAGGAGGACACCACTGAAAAGAATAAATATATTCTACGTTTTGATCACATGGAAAGGTCTTGTGTGCTTTCTAGACGTTGGCTATAGAGCCTCAGTCACAAGCTCAAGTATTGGGGGAGGGGAGAAGGAAAGAGTAGATTACCTGTGAAAAACAGGAATTATTATGTGGCATCAGTGCTAATTATATTAAATAGAAAGGAAAAATAAACCTAAGAACAATTGTCTGATCAGGAGAATATTGCTCCAAAGCGGACATTTTAAACATTTGTATTCATGCTCTTAATTATAATTTATTTCAATGGAGGTTTGCAGCAAAATTTGACTTGCAACACCAGCTCATTCTGATTTGCAATTATAAACACCCAATGTGTGCTGAGTTATCTGATCTCCAATGGGGTAGCATTACTTGACTTCAGTTGGGTTAGGGTAGAGAGAGGAAAAAAATACAGGGTTACCCATCCTGATTGCTTTCTCATGACCCCTGCTGGAGATGTGTACAGGGTTCTGCTGTCACAATGTCCCTTGCATCAAATGGCCTGCCACGACTAAATGTTAAGGCTCACACACGAGCAATGACCACATGGGCAAGGCACTGTAGGAACACCTGTGCCATGGAATATTACACCCAATAGGGGAAAAGAAGGACCAACATTTTCAGGAGAGGGTGGCATGCTGAGGAAAAAATAAATGCACGATTATGTAAAGGAAAACACAAGGGAGAACTCACAAAACCTTCTCTGTGAATCGTGTAACAGTCACCACTAAGTTCTTCAAAGTTCCCACTCTTCTTGCACCCAATGTATATTAAAATATTCTGCGCTATGCAGGCATTAGGTGTGTTAAAAGTATTAAGCCTTAGTATTAATTTTTAAAAAATGTGGTCGCTCAATCCGAGACTGTTTGTGGGACACTGCTGTGCACAATTGGTTGCCATGTTTCGCCCACAAAACATACAGTGAATTCACTTTATAGTATATTCTGTGACGCATTTTTAGACGTCTCGAAGACGTGATGGGGCGCTATATCAAATGTAAGGATTATTATTATTTATTATAAGCTTGGCATTACCAGAACACTAGTATATTTCAGTCAATTAAATCAATTGAGAGTTAAGCATCACCGAGGGAAGTTTATTTTCTACACTGAGACAAATTTTCAAAAAGCAGCTTACTGGTGCAAAAAAATCCACCAGCCAAGGTTCTTCCTCTTTCTTCGGAAAATTCTTCGGATTGAGTGTGATGACGTGCGAATTGATGCTCTCTCTGGCAAAAGCTACTATGTCATACAGAACCTTTTTGCCTTTTAAAATAAAACACAACGTGAAATGGTACTTAATATTTGTTTAAATATAGATAAATCCTAAAATAATTACAAGGAATTTTCATCTTTTCCCCAAAACAATTCTTGTAGCATTAACATAAAAAAGGGTATCATTTTGTGCGTTTCGCCCACAAAATATAGTTAATTTACTTTACAGTATATTCTGTGAAGTGCTTTGAGACGTGAAAAGGTGCTATATCAAATGCAAGGATTATTATTATTATTTTAAAGAGGCACTAATGGACTCTTCAATGGCTCAGTGAGGTTTCTTAGTGAATAGCTGAGCCATGAATATTGGAAACGTCCCAGGCTCAATTTCCTGGTCTTTGTTCAGCAGGTGGATCTCAGCCAATTGGCACTACATTCGACTTCAATACCTTGTGTTCCCCATTCCCGATTGCTTTCCAGCAACCTGGAGGTGCATTGGCTTCAGGGTCCAGTTTAAATGCCAGGATCCAGCTTGATGCAATGCCTTTTATGGTCAAATAGCCTGCTAACATCACACGATCTGTGCACACGCATAATAACGGCCATTTGGATGCAATTCCAAAGGATTACCAGCATCATTGAATTATACCTCGATGGGGTGTGGGAGTGGGGAGGAGAGAAAGAATTTAAATCCTTTTGCTAGACTTCTTGTTCTTGGTCAAGGTCACTTCATGAATAAATGAGGACGGAAGGGGAAAGAGAGAGAAACAAATCAAGTTTACATCAACCGCAAAGTATTTTTCACTGTCTAGCCAGGAAGGAGAAGTCAGGGAGCAGATGAAATGAAAATGCAAATGTTATTCCAATTAACGAGGCAAGATAAAAATGGAGTCCTACCATGATGTATTTCATAGGCACGGATTCCATTGCCTTTGAAGACTACAACACATGGCTGTTTGATATAAAGGCTTTTGCACACCTGTGCTCCCGACTCACAGTTAAATGTTCCAACCTATAAATAATTACCACAGCGGGGCTCAGAAAGGATTAATTTTTTTGAAAGATACATTTGTGAACATTCCAACAATCATTTATAAACTATAGCGAAAATGGATTAACATATATAGTTAAAATGGATTATAAGTAACATAAGATATATCTTTCATAGTTCAAATGTTTTGATGCTATTCAGAAGCGCATATAGACGATGAGGCAAGCCTCCACCGATAAGAAAGTATTAGGCGCATTTTAGAGTTAACAGTTGGATTAAGTGCGGTGCATCACTTTACAGGTGGAAAAAATTATTTACTATCAGATAAAGCAACAGTGTAACTAGGTCTGTGTAACAAATCAATTACAATATATATTGTGATGACAGGAAAGCAAAATTTTAACAGCAAAACAGAATATCCTGTCTGACTTCAAAATCATCTCCAAACTCACTTAAAATCAACAACAACAAAATTACATTTGTAGAGCGCCTTTCAAGTCGGGAGGATGTCCCAAGGCGCTGGACAGTCAGGGGTCAGGACCCGAGCATGGGTGAGGCCTGGGGTAGGGGTGAGGGAAGGCAGAGAGGTGGGAGGGCGACTAAAGGCATAATCGAAGAAGAGGGTCTTGAGACCGGCCTTGAAGGAGGAAACGAGGCGAAGGGACCGTGGGATGGAGTTCCTGAATGTGGGGGCAGAGAGGCTGAAAGCCCAGCCACTGATGGTAGGGTGGGTCAGACGGGAGATACGGAGCAGGCCAGAGCCCGCTGAACGGAGGGAACGGGCAAGCTGGTAGGGAGTCAGCAGGTCAGAGAGGTAGGAGGGGGCAAGGCCATGGATGGCCTTGAAAGTGAGGACGAGGATCTTCATTAATCCAAAATATTGGTTTAATGAATATTTAGCAGAACTAGACGTTAGCCATACCTGGACGTTATCACTTTTCAGAAGAACGTCTATCTTTTTGAACTCATAATCATCGGATTCCGTTCTCTTACCGAATGCAAAAAACACCAACCAGCGATGGTGGGCTAACTTGGTCTGGAAAGAGAAACGAGAAGGTGTTTCTTTCTTTGTTGGAACATATACCTTTCAAAATCTGTATTATTCCAATTTCCCTTTGGGAATCCATACCAGGATTGAGTGTTCAGACAGCTGCTCCAGGTCAGGCAAATGCTGCATTACTTCAATGTAAATTTCTCTGGCTTCAAGGCTACTCAGAAACTGGAGAAAAAAATAAACGTTTGCTCAATTATAAACAACTTGCTTAGGAGTTTTTTTTAGAAAAAAAGGGTTAACATGAATAGGAAATATGAAAAAGTATATTCAATTACACATAGAGGGAAAATAGACCAACTGAAATTTTAACAAAGTCAGATTTATAATATGACTTTAGTAGAATGAAACAAATGTTTGGATACAAAACAGTAAGTAAATTATTCAGCTGTATTTTTTGTATTGTCAGTTTTATATTATATTTAGATTTAGCTGTACTATCTTTGCAGAAGTTTCTATAACTATAAGAGGCTGCAGTTAAACCACACTTCAGCCCTAAAATAAATACATACCAAGACCCCATCTTTCTGTTTTATGGTCGAACCGGGTGGGAAATAAATTGTCGTACTAGAACTGATCTCAATATCGGCACAGAGTTGGCCCTGGGTTGTGCAATCTGTCCAGCCCACATTCACAAGTCCTTCCTAAATAGAAAATAAACTAAATCATCTTTAAAAACAAAATGTTATCGACAAACAGGTGACAGGAACAGCCATTCAAAGGATCCCACTTTATCCCTACTTTTGGATTGTTAGGTATCGTTAAATAAAATGGTAGCTTTTGGAGAAATCGTGATCAGTGTAAAACACAGGAAAGTAATACAATTGAAAGCCTTACAGATCCCACCACCCCCCATGCGATTCACAACTGCACAATATTGTAATCAGTCTCTGTAAATACAGCTTAAAGAGTTAGTCATATGCCACCATATGAAAAAGTATTGAAATATTGCAAAGTGGGAGTAAGCGTATTATCACATTTTAAACCTAATAGAGATTACAAACACTGCACTTACCAGCATTCCAGCCAATTTAAGTTGTGTGTGTGCAGTCAAGCAATCTGTGAAACAAAAAATAAGCCAATGACTTGTTTGCGTGTTTCAAGATAAGCATTCATGTCAAATACACTCATCCTAAGGTTTTGCTTGGAGGGAAAACAAAAGTAATGAAATGGCACTAAGTTTTCTAGTATTTTGTTTCCCACTACTCATTGTTGCATTTCTATCTGATACTGTAATTATACGCAACTTGCATTCATACAGCAACCTTCACGTGGGATAGCATCTCAGAGCGTTTAGTTATGGTTATTCCAATTTTGCTGCTCAGCTGCAGTACTTCCGATGATCTGACTTATTTTTTTGCTTCCTCTGCTCTCCTTTTCCCTCACCCAGAATGCTTTTCCATCCAGTTTCCACTTTCTATGCCTGACCAATCTTTTGTGTCAAATCAATCTCTCTCTTTAATAACACAGCCATCTCAATTAAGCTGGAATGGATTGTATTTTTTAATTGCATTAAAATAGTTCCCCTACATACTTCCTATTGTAATATTCGCTTTTAACAGATTGCTGCTTGTGCTTCAAAGCATTGTAAACATCTGGACTGTTCTCAACCCACTGTTTGTCAAAGGAGTGATACCACTTAACCTTGTTATCAGGAGTTGCTTTCCTAACAAAAAGGGAGCACAACAAGAAAGGAATAAAACAGAATGGCTATTATATATTAGCAATTCACATACTTGGGGTTAGCATATTCACTAAACAAACATATAAGAATAAAATTATTTATTTATTACCTCCAATTTCAGCACAGAAGGTGACCAACCATCCAGTTCCCAAGGAATGTGCTCGATTGAAAGCGCTCGCAAAATTTCCTACCAATAGAAAATCATGGTGAAGAGTTATGCAATGTGTAACTTTTCTATATAGTTACCCTACAAGGTTAGCATTATTTTAAAGTTATTCAATTAAATTAAGTTGTTCAGTTTCAAACATTGTGAATTATTCCATATAAAGAGGCACAATAATACCTGTCCACAGTTCAGTCACCTGGCTCGTGACATAACTCAGAGCAAAACTGACGAGTTGTTCCTTTGTTCGCTCGCCAACAAACTTCACTCCCTTCTACAAAACAAAGTTTTAAATAAGCATTTAATTTTTTTTCACTTCTTATCAATAATATAATCCTTGCATTCAATATTGTTCCTTACAATACAATGCTAAATAACATTTATATAGCGCCTTTCATGTCAGAAGGACATCCCAAGGCGCTGGACAGTCAGGGACTTGTACCTGAGCTGTGGGTCGGGATTGGGGAGGGTGGCTGACAGGGAGCGTAGGAGGGTGGCCAAAGGCTCAGTTGAAGAGGAGAGTTTTGAGACGTGTGCCTTGAAGATGCAAGGGAAGGAGTGAGGCGAAGGGAATGTGGGATGGAGTTCCATAGGGTGGGGGCAGAAAGGCTGAAATGGCTTATCATGTCATTGAAATGTCTAATATCGAGAGCAAGGATTTATTAGTAGAATGTGGCAAAGTGTGAATCCGTAAAAAAATACTAGAGCACACGCTAATGTGCTACAGAATATAAATGACTACTAATAATCATTTCTTGAAAGGTCACTAGTGCTACCGAAAAAGGTGAAATATTCTGAATGACATTAATTGTCAATCTAGTACAGTTTGTATGGGTCACCATTAGATTAATTGGGGAGAGGGAAAAGATGGTTCAATTATCATGGTGTTCACAAATACTGTTGAGGGCACGTTATCAAGGGTGTCTAGAACCCAAGTTCATCTTCTAAATTTGGTGCCTACCATTCCCATTTTATAGATGTAGAGACTTGGGTAACTGTTGATTCCTTTTGAACGGCACAACATCCTATTGTCTCCACAGTTAACAGCTCCAATACGGATTACTCCATCCATCTCTTTGGCAAATTCTCTCCACTGTGGAGCAAAAAGTCAAGGCAGACGTTAGTGGCAACACATTTATCCTCAAGCAGGTGCACTGGACTATGTTAAGATAACGTAAAAGTACTACGAGTCATGTAATGTTTTGCATTAAAACATACCGTGGGAGCCAGGTCATGGCAGTGTGAGCATCGAGGGAAGTAGAAGTTTACAAACCACAATTCCCCAGAGTTAATTGCAGCATCTATTAATGAAAATAAAGCAACGAACAGGTGCAATTAACCAGTAATGTTGACAGCAGATTTAACAGTTACTAAATGCATGTTCTTAAAAAATCTTAAAAGTATCAGAAAGGTGCAATCTTTACAGTGGTAAATATCCTCCTGGGAGGGGAGGGTGGGGTGAACGAGGGAGTAAGCGGCATCTCCTTGCGCCTGAAATGGCCCCAAGGTGACAGGTCTGGTAACGGAATACTGGAATTGACCCAGCCCTCTGTGGCGGTCTCGGTAGACCTGGTACCTGAGCCTGTTGGGTGCCCAGTACCCAAGGGCACTGTTGATGACAGCATAGCTATACTGGCCTCATCGTCGGGACTTGGGAGAGTCAGACCAGTTGCTAGGGGCAGGGAATGCTCCCGCACAGCTCCTTTAAACTCTGCAAGCCAAAGCCCTCATGGGTAGGGTGGCCCTCACTGGACACGTAGCAAAGAGATAACCTACAGTTAGTTGTGAAGCTCAATGTTTTACATTACCCTGACTCTTCATTTGGTTTCAGAAAGCAAAAATAAGAATCAATCTCTTCAGAAGAAATATCTCAAAAACACCACAGCTGTTTTTAAGAAGGGCACAAACTTCTATGCATCTGGGTATTGTTAGCCACACCACACACACACAAAAAAAGCGAGGCTGAACAATCTCAAAGTTCATTAAGGTGTGTAAAAAAAATCAAAACATTTGTGGGGTTTAAATAAAAAGCTTTAAATGAATAAGCTAGATGCTCCCTCACTTTGAGACTTTGTCATTCTGGCTGTCCAAGGGAACCGCCGAGTGAGTAGTCAAAGAATAGTAATAGCAGAGGAACTGGCAACACATTAGCTGCAGGTTGGTGCAGGGCACGGTGAAGAAGTTTAATGGGAGGACGTGGAGGCCACAAATATAACTATTTAGTGACAACTGTACAAAGAATGATTTCATGATAATTATTTGTTTTCATTATTACTTCTGCTTCAGACCAGTTGTACAACATTCTGCAAAACCACTCAGCCCCTGTTGTTTGGATTGGGATCAAGTTTGTGCATTGTGTTCAGTCTCTTGACAAGCTTCTAAACACATGATCAAATGCCTTATGTAGATTCACAAAAGAATGGCAAAGGTCTCAAAACTTACAATGGCTGGATACAAAATAAAGTGCACAATTTAGTGTCAAGTAGTTTGTCTTGGAAGCAATGTTTGCAGTGCGCTACACAAATTTAATGTAATTCACACCACAACCAGGCAGGAGAAGTTACCTGTGGTTATAGTAGATACTTAGAACAAACTTAATTCCGCCCATAGGTGGTTAATGTACTGTAATCTTATGCTTTGTATTTTCTATAAATCTAAAATGAAACTTACCAAAATCTGCTCTATCCAATGTTATTATTTCCGCATCGTCATCATAAATGCCTAAAAAATAAAAATATGAATTAAGAATGTAATCTCCCTCCTACAAAGTGATTCTGCAATAGCCATACTATTTACAGTTTACTCTGGCTGTAGTCAATTCAAGTAATATTTTCAAGTAAAATGAATCAGAAAGTTTGTTGGAAGATATGGGTTGAAAGATGCACAGGAAGGAAGATTAATATTACTTACTTGCAAATTACTTAATTGCATGAGTAGTGGCTAAAAAAACTCATTTAAAGAAAAACAAACTTGTGAAATGTTAAAAACATTTAAAAATGACAGTAGTTGAAAATCATAATTCTATAAATTGCACATTAAAAAAATCCCAGCTAATCTTAAACAGGAATTGTCAGGTTTTTTTTTAAGCATTTCATCCATCCAAAAGATTTTCACTTTGCCTCACTCACCACCCTGATCAGTGCTGAAATCTTAGGAAGCAGAGGAAAGGAAATTGGAAACTTTCCCCAATGAAGCCAACAGTCAATAACAATGGTTCAGTGCTGGGATGGAATTACCACAAGTAGGAAGAGAACAGGATACAACCTGAGCTCTTTCCTCAGTGCAAATGAGAGACATTTCAATAACTCCTTGTGATACCTTGACGTGTAGTATCACACTAAAAATGGACTATATCAGATTGTGGTGGTTATACAGCACGATACATGATTCAGCCTTATTTACAGTACTTTTACTGTTGTAGTCTTGACAAGAAACTATCATCATAAAATAAAGTTGCACTATAATGTTACCTAGTGCTTCTGTAGCATAAGATTATGAACAAAAAATAGCCCCTCTGAAATAAATAGTGTATAAAAACTTTCCAACAAAGATCCCCAACTGTCCTTCCAACTGCACATCCAGTCTCGATCCACCCCTCACCCTGGCTCAAGTGTCGAGCTCCCAGACACCCTTTCACCCAGAAAATACAGTCACTACACTTTGCAGTATATACAGTGAAGCACTTTGAGACGTCTCAATGACGTGATAAGGCTTTATATCAAATGCAAGGATTATATTATTACTGTTAAGTGCTCTAAGATGCTACAACGCGTGAAGGGCACTATATAAATACAATTTGTTGTTGTTGGATATGGGGGTGGGGGGAGGGAGGACAGGAAAAGATAAACATTTTGCAGTTGATACACCAGCTGCAAAATGACATCTGCAAATTTACAAATCTAAAGCTCTTATTTTATTATATTAAAATAAGTGCAACAAAGTACAGCAAAATAAGAATTTGGTGCCATCATGTGGTTAAAATTTGTACTTCTTACTTTTGGAAGGCAAAAGCGGATTAATTGAGTAGAGGAACAATACTGTACTTGCAACATCATCGAGATTGCTGTACCTGTTCTGTGTCTATCTGTATTCTTCATATATTGCATGAAGCCATGAATTATGCACAACATTTTCCAGTGCATCTAAAAAATGCACGTCAATGCTCATGAAATAAATATTGGGTCTAAGCTCGGAGGATGTTCGAGCCTCTGATTTTTATTTCAATCAAATACTACAGATGTCCTTGGTATTATTATACACTGCAAACTCAGGTTCAATTTCAGTTCACTGAAAGGCAAAAGTACAATATCTCTTTCCTTAATTTTTGAGCTCTAATTTTCATCAGAGTATGAGTAAATCACTCAATATAAGGGAATCCTGTAGGCACACGATATATTGCTATAACACACTGGACCGCTAATCATGAATTGAGTACTCTGTCACACGACACTGTGTGCATAATGAACGTGATAAATGTACATTTGACTTGAAATAAGTTCACAACGGCTTAGCAATGTGAGGCATAGCACAGGACTTACCAAAATCGTAACGATAGAAATTCCAGCTTTCATATTGCCCACCCTCCTGGTGATCCCGAAGGCCTTTTTCACCGTACTTATCATACTTTTTTCGAAGCTCCTCGTCTTTTAGAACTTCATAAGCTCTATTGATTTTCAGAAATCTGTCATGTGCGCTTGGATCATTCTAGGAAGACAAGACAGCAACAAAGTCTTAAAATATCCAACAATATTTGGTCACTTTTAAGTTTGACATCTAGATTACAGTAATCCTGGAAGAAATTGACCATTGCAATGCTTGTCAAATTTATTAATTTGGTGCATAAATACTACAACTGGGTGAGACGTCTAAATTAAAACTTGCAAGGATTAAAAGGAATGACAAAATGCTGCTGGAGTTCCATGAGCAATGTATGTTCGCAATATAGTCATTCATTAATATCTTTAGACCCACAGCATGCTATAATCCGAAGCATGCATAAGCAAAGAAATATCAGACTTCAGACAAGGGAGTACATTTTCAAGTTAAGAACATATTGGTAGCTAAACACAAAACATTTAAATTGGCATACAGTAGCATGCGGCTGAGCAGTAACCCAGGCCTCCTTTCATGTTGTCTGGCAGAAATACAATTACAAATGAAAGTTGTTAGCCTTGAGAGGTGTAACGTGTTTGAGCTGCTAGTTTTGTTTGCATTACGGAAATTAGCATTGTAATGAGATACTGGGTTGAAACACTTGTTGCTCAAGATTTCACCAATGACTCAGAGGATAAATGCACCACTGCTGGCTGCAACAACATGCCATACAACCCAGAAAGATGTAGTGTTGAATACCGTTCTGGGCAGAGTTAGCAGTTGGAGAGTCTTGTCCAGAAAACACTGCTGGATGTTGCAAGTGTATGGAGGGGGACAACAGGATCAAGCTCAGTTGTGAGGCCCCTCAATATATATCTACCAAACAGGCAATTTAAAAAAAAAAGGCATCTCATTATATTTCAGCACAAAGGCCACCTCAAGGTCTGATACAGTATAATAGATGCACGTCGGATCTTTTTGAATACTTACTGGATTTTTGTCAGGATGCATTTTGAGAGCAAGTTTCTTGAAGGCTTGCCTTATTTCCCGATTACTTGCACTTTTCAATAATCCAAGCAATTGATAATAGTCATCGTCAGTGTAAACTACAACTGATAAACAGATCAGCATAAAAAGACATAAAACTGTTTTGTTTGAAAAAAAATTACAGTTCTTTGAAGCAGGTAAGCTGGACGTTGAAGATTTCATTTTTGCAGAATGAACTCTCATATGCTGTACGTAAAGTCAATCACTGAATATCCAGTTAAATCATTCAGTTGGCTCTTGACCCTGGGTTTACAAAGTTAAACTTCATTCCAGAGATGAAATCCGCATTAGATTTTCATGTTGTATTTCCAAAAGCCAAATCCTATAGATAAAAGCAAAGTATAGTATCACGTATCTGTTTTACTCAATACAATTATAAATATATAGTTGCAACAATACAAATCTTGCCCCGAAAATCTATTTCTCCTTTCCCATCCTCTAAAGTCTGCAATCGAACACGTTAACCCGCTGTAATAAATGACTGATTAAGAAACATTTTGTTCAAAGAATGTTTCTTTTAATCTTTTACCAATGCCTTTCAAAAATTGTGCCCAGATTACTCTCAAAATGTGCAGAGTAGCTTTATGTATTACTGACGTGAAATAAAGGAATTGATGTAATTGACTTACTTGGTCAGTCTATAATTATGTGGTGGGGTTGAGGGGTGAAGAGAAATGGAGGAAGAATGGGGGGAGGAGGGATGTTGAAATAGTATAAGAGGTCTCACATCTTAATCCACTTAAAATGTAAAAAAGACAAAAGCACAATATAATCACCATCACTTCAAATTAATCTAATAATGTACCTGAATTGCTCAAAACTATGGGCATTTCGATAATAGCCCAGAGTGTATGTACATCTTTTTTTTTGCATCTTATATTGAGTAACAAATACAGTTGTGCTGTCATTATAAACCATGAAATCTATATTAAGAGTACAACACAAAGTATTTCAGAGCTCGTGAATTTTCAAATAGTGCATCTTATACATCCATCTAATAAGGAATTTACTGTGAGGCAAGTAAGACTCTTCACACAGGATTATTTGTAAAACAACATAAAAGATAACTGATAAACAAAAGACAATTCGGGACATGTAAAATGCATCAAGAGAGATTATTTACATAGATAAATTCAGTGCATTAGGAAACATATGTTAACGTCTTAACCACAATTACTGTTTCATCCCCCTAGCCATTATTCGTATCTATATCCTACCAACACTTCTGCTTTCAATAAATGTTCTGGGGGTGGGGAAGGGGGTCTCCTTGCGCTTGTCAACAGAATGTTAAAATTGAGTCAACTCTCAGACATGGTCTCAATAGTCTGAGCCGGGCAGATTTGTAGTACTAGTAATGACAGGCGAGCCAACCTGGATCATCAGCAAAGCTCAGAAGGGAACACCAATACATTGGGAGCAGGGATTCTTCCCACTTGGCCACTATTGTGGAATCTTGTTGTTGTTGTTGTTATTATATTAGCCAAAGTCTAAACAGGTAGGGCAGACCAGCTGGCCAAGAACAACAAATTACATTTGTATAACGCCTTTCACATCGGGGGGAGGACGTCCCAAGGCACTGAGCATTCAGGGTTTTGAGCCGAGCTGGGGGTTGGGATCAGGAGGGCCAGAGAGCAGGGAAGCTTGCCACACACTTATTTCAATAAGCTATGCATTTTTAGCTGGTTAACGTCCAACCGTACCCCAACATAGACTCTTGGGGGTCCTCAAGTTTTCATTCCTGGCAATCTGTATCTAATATAAGGCAAGCAGGGTGTGTTGCTCCAGGAAGTGAGTGTGCATTCCCTTTCAGGCCCAGGAATGTTTCCATGTGCAGGTGGCATACATACATGGAACTGGTTTGGGTAGTGTTAAGCATTGGGATAGGTTTCCATATGCGTCAGGCATCCAGCAGATAAAAGATTTTCAGTAAACTGTGTGCAGATAAACACAGAGTTATAATAAATCCAGGGAACATTGGTACCTGGAAACACTGATTGTCCAGCACCTTGGGACGTCCTCCTGATGTGAAAGGCGCTTTACAAATGTAGTTTTGCTGTTGTTGTTGGTGTGCAAGTGAGTGACCACCTACTGTACCGTTGAAATAATCGAGTGACCCGGCCTGCTCTGAGCAAGTCCAAAAAAACCTGATTGTCCAGTGCCCTGGAACGTCTTTCTGACGTGAAGGGCGCTATACAAGTGTAATTTGTTGTTGCTGTTGTGAGTGAGGAAAGGTGAGAGTGGGGTGGAGTGAGTGGGAGATGGTGTGCGTGAAGAAAAGGGAAGAGGGAGAGGTTGGTGAACAAGTAAGTGTGAGAGAGTGGAATGAGTCAGAAATGGAATGAGTGAAGAAGAGGGGAGAGGCAGGTGGGAGAGATGGTGTGAGTGAGGAAAAGGGCGGAGAGGTGGTGTGAGTGAGGAAATGGGGAGAGAGCGGTAGGAGAGATTGCGTGAGCGAGGCAAAGGGCAGAGAGAGTTGGGGAGAAATGGAGCGAGTGTGAGAGAGATGGAATGAATGAGGAAAAGGGGGGAGAAAGAGGTGGGAGAGATAGAGTGAGTGAGGAAAAGAGGAGAAAGAGAAGTGGTGATGAGAGATGGGTATGAGTAAAGAAAAGGGGAGAGAGAGGTGGCGAGTGATGGAATGAGTGAGAGATGGAGACGTGAGGAAAAGGGGATGCGGAGGTGGGAGTTCGGGCACCTCCACCTCTCTCTCTCCCGCCCTTTCTTCACTCACTCCATCACTCCCTTACTCACTTCAAACATCTCTCTCAACCCCACTCATTCACTCCTTCAAAACTCTCTCCCCTTTTCTCATTCACACCATCTCTCTCTCTCTCTCTCTCTGAGTCTCACTCATTCCATCTCTGCCGACCTCTCTCTCTCTCTCCCTCCCCTGTTCTTCACTCACTCCATCACTCAATCATCTCTCTCAACCCCACTCATTCACTCACTCATTCAAATCTCTCCGTTCTTCACTCACGCCATCTCTCTCTCTCTCTTCCTCTCTCTGTCTCACACTCACTCTCTGCCAAGCTTCTCTTTCTCTCTGTCCCCTCTTCTTCACTCACTCACGACATCACTCACTCACTCCTTCACTCACTTCAATCATCCCTCTCAGCTCCACTCCCTCCCTCCCTCCCTCAAATCTCTCTCCTTTCCTCACTCACACCATCTCTCTCTCTCTCTCTCTCTCTCTGGGTCTCTTTCTATCACTCCATCTCTGCCAACCTCCCTCTCTTCCCCTCCCCTTTTCTTCACTCACTCCCTCACTCAAAAATCTCTCTCCTTTCCTCACTCACACTCTCTCTCTCTCTCTCTCCCCTCTCACCCACTCACTCACTCCCTCTCTCTTTCCTCATTCACACCTTCTCTCTCTCTCTCTCTCCCTTCTCACTCACTCACTCTCTTTCCTCACTCACACACCTTCTCTCTCTCTCCCCTCTCACTCACTCACTCACTCACTCTCTCTTTCCTCACTCACACACCTTCTCTCTCTCTCCCCTCTCACTCACTCACTCACTCTCTCTTTCCTCATTCACACACCTTCTCTCTCTCTCTCTCTCCCCTCTCACTCACTCCCTTTCTCCCTCTTTCCTCATTCACACCTTCTCTCTCTCTCCCCTCTCACTCACTCCCTTTCTCCCTCTTTCCTCATTCACACCTTCTCTCTCCCCTCTCACTCACTCCCTCTCTCCCTCTCTTTCCTCATTCACACCATCTCTCTCTCTCTCCCCTCCCTCTCTCTCTCTCTCTCCCCTCTCATTTTCTCTCTCTGTCTGTCTGCCTGTCATACCTTCACTCACTCACTCAGTCCCATCCTCACCTGCGACGGGGGTGGGGGGGGGGGGAATCCTCTTCAAAAAACAACCGTCGCTCACCCGGCAACAGCCGACACTTCACTCCGGACACATCTGCAGGTTGCACCGCTTCCCCCCTCTCTCCCTCTCTCCGGCTCAGTCTCGGTCTGTCGCCGGCCCGGACGGGTTTCCGGGGGACACAGACAATGGGAGCGCTGACGTCAAGACGCGGAGCAGCGCCGGGCTGAGCGCCACGTGGCCACCTCTGGGGGTTAAGGGCGGGGGCGGGGCTCAGGGCCGGCGGGGGGCGGGGCTAAGGGCTGGCGGGGCTGCACGCGGATGGGGAGCAGGATCTGCTGCACTGGAGCTCCCAACCCGGACTGCAACCGCTGTTGTTGTTGTTGTTGTTGTTGGGGGCGGAGTCGGGGGAGGAGGGGGCGGGGTCGGGGGAGGAGGGGGCGGGGTCGGCGCCATTGGTCTTTTCTGGTCTCGATACTTTGTTTCAATGCGTTGTACCCAGGACTGGCCCTGAGTGGTCTGCTGGAGGGGGGGGGGGGTAGGGCGGCTGGTGGTTGGTTAGGCGGTTGGTGGTTGGGTACGGCTGGTGGTTGGGTTAGTTGGGTTAGGGCGGGTTGGTGGTTGGGTTAGGGCGGGCTGGTGGTTGGGTTAGGGCGGGTTGGTGGTTGGGTTAGGGCGGGTTGGTGGTTGGGTTAGGGCGGGCTGGTGGTTGGGTTAGGGCGGGTTGGTGGTTGGGTTAGGGCGGGTTGGTGGTTGGGTTAGGGCGGGCTGGTGGTTGGGTTAGTTGGGTTAGGGCGGGCTGGTGGTTGGGTTAGGGCGGGGGGCTGGTGGTTGGGTTAGGGCGGGCTGGTGGTTGGGTTAGGGCGGGCTGGTGGTTGGGTTAGGGCGGGCTGGTGGTTGGGTTAGGGCGGGTTGGTGGTTGGGTTAGGGCGGGCTGGTGGTTGGGTTAGGGCGGGTTGGTGGTTGGGTTAGTTGGGTTAGGGCGGGCTGGTGGTTGGGTTAGGGCGGGCTGGTGGTTGGGTTAGGGCGGGTTGGTGGTTGGGTTAGGGCGGGCTGGTGGTTGGGTTAGGGCGGGCTGGTGGTTGGGTTAGGGCGGGTTGGTGGTTGCACAGGTTCAGGGCTGGAGGAGGATTAGTACAATTGTTGCATATGCTATTAAAGTGCACAACACTTTTCAGACCCCCACCCCATCTCCCCTCCCCCCACATCACCCTTCACAACCAGCAGTTGGGTGTGTTCCCCCCCCCCCCCTTGTTAAGACATTCTGCATAATCTTCCCTGGTGGAAAGTTTCCTTTGCTGCTTCCCATTCACCCCCCCCCCCACTTCTCCCACACACACACATTACAACAAAACTTATTTACCACTACCATTAGTGGTGACGGCTTAAAAGACACAAGTCTCCCCTGACCTCTTCCACACGACACAACGCTTTCGCCCACAAAATACACACTCAACTCCACTTTACGTTACAGTATCTCTCTGTGAAGCCCTTTAAAACCTTTCAACGCTATGTCAAATGCTAGGATTATTATTACACTCCTGACCCCCAACAAGGGAGGGATTATCTGTATTCAGAATTGTACAGTATATTCTTTTATATACATTCATTGTGCGTGGATATTGTACACAGCAATTGTCGTAAGTCAAATATAACTTTGAATTTGACAGGCACTTAATAATAATAGTTTCATTTGCTATAGGCTTATCACATTGTAAAGTGTATAACTGTATATTTTGTGGGAAAACGTGGCAGCCAATTTGCAAATAACAATGCCTTACAAATAGCTATGAATTGAATGACCCAATTTTTATCTGGGGAATTGCTGGCCGCAATACTGGGAGAAACTCCCTTCTCTTTTTGATTAGTGCCATGGGATCTTTAATATCAATCTGAACAGGCAGACAAGACCTCAGGTTAACATCTCATCTGAAGGCTGGTACTCCCGACAATGCAGTAATACTCCAGCGCTGTATGGAACCTACGGCCTTCTGACTTGGAAGTGAGACTGTGACCAACTGAGCCAGTCTGACACATGCAATTAACAATCTTCAAAGAGCTTTAGATTACGGTGTAACTCACACAAACATTCAATTAACTATCTTACAACAAGGTTCCTATAATATTTGTATTTCAAACAGGTTTCCTTTTTACCAAGTTGCCCTCGCCTGATATAATGAGGAAGTTTGTACATTGAACAGAATACTATGAAGTTGGGTGTGAGACTCCTCAAAGGAGTCATAATTACTTTTCTTGTGATGTCAGGAGAAGTCAGCAAATTGTCACTTTTCAACTATTAAGGCCAATTCCATCATTTAAAAAAAAATACATCTGTTGCACCTCGAAGACATACATTGATAAAACGCTGCTACACCTTCTGATTCCTTTCATGGATCGACTATTCAATAATATTATGTTAGCATCCTGAATAATGGTTGATTTTGTAAAACAAAATAAACTGCATAAACACTTTTCAAAAGGAATCAATTCAATGAATAAACAAATAGAAAGTAGCATTTTTCAGTTTCTATACACCTAGTCTAATTCTAAAACAAATATTCATGTATTGGTTGCTGCAGTGCAATTTGTGTACTGAATCTTTTTAAGTAACAAGGTGGCAACTATTTAATATTATACTTGATTCAAAGCATCCTATTAAATTTGAAGCTAGGCTTCTCTATACTTCAGTCTTACTTTGGAATATTCAACACCAATTCATTTGCAGCAAATTATTTTCAAAGATCTGTGATGTAAAGGTTATATAATTATTTTAACACTTCAAAGGATTCCAAGGGATGGTGCTTTGAGCATAGTATTTCCACAGAATTTTAAAGGCTACCTCTTTACTTAATAGGCAAAGCCTTAAAAGAGCACCTAATTGTATGGTTGAAACTTAGTTTCCAAATTTTCCCAAATATCTTAAAACTAATATTTTTTCTTCTTTTATTTCATTTCCAACACCATACTTTTGGACTAGAGGTAGCAGGTGATGGGTCTAACTCAGGCCCCTCAGCAAATACTTTATTGTTATTGTCCACAGAGAGCTATATTTACCCCTCCTCCAGACTGCTTCATAAGATTCTTGCAGCGTCAAATATTTTTCAGTTTATTTATTTAAAAACTGCAACTGAAAAAAACCCACCAGTAAACTGACAACTCCTTGCCAGGCTTCTGTCAATACAACGACAACAACAAAGTTACATTTATAGAGCGCCTTTCACGTCGGGCGGATATCTCAAGGCGCTGAAATAACTCATAATAAATAGTATTTCACCGATATGAATTTAGGTGCTGTACATAAACTGTAAAAAAAAATGCGAGCTGCACAGTGGGACTTTCAGGAGACCTTGCGATGTGCTACTTCCTATCACTGAATGATAAGAGCAGAGAATAAATTATTCTTCACTCCCATCTAATCCTTTTACCTTATAGCATTATTTTAGCAGCCAAAAAAAATCAATCAATCAATCAATCAATCAATCAATCAATCAATCAATCAGTATGGATTATTTAGTTCATGGAATAAGAGAGGAGGGTTTGGTGTGATTTGATTTCTCAGTTTGCAGAGAGAGAGAGCGAGCACCGTGTGTTGGAGGAGATGGGTTGCAGCTGCCTTGGGCACACATGTTGCTGTGGAGGGCGAGAGAGAGCGAGAGAGAGAGGAGCTGGAGAGAGTCAAAGTCTCTGACTCCCTGCAGCTCCACATGGGCACCGGCTCGTCGGTCCAGTCCACGCGCAAGGTCCTCGTCCTTCCAGGGGAAGGGAAGCCCAGCTGGTGGAGGAACAGGAGACCCCACTTTCACCGGCTGCAGACTCGGGGTCCGGCGGCCAGCGGACAGGGCAGCCCAGGGAGCAGCCAGCGGTGCTGTGAGAGGGGCACCAGGAGTCAGCCTCCCAGCGGTGGTACTGCGGATGCTCAGGAGGCAGGTAGGGAAGTGGAGCAAAGGAAAGTGTTACTGTTTGAGGGATGGTTGTGTGTGTCTGGGAGGGGGGGTTCTCAAGAGCGATGGAGAAGGAAGGGCTTGAGGGTGGGGAGCTTGTCGTTTGCATGCATCCTCCTGGGGATAGACAGAGTGGACACGTTGAGCTTTTTTGGGGGGGGGCGTGGGTGGGGGAATTAATTGAATGGATGAAGCTGTTTGTCCACAGCAACAGATGCACCAGGTTGCTCATCCTGGATGCTGAACATGCACTGTCCCCTGACAAGTGCAGCACCAGAGTACACCCCCTAACATTGTTTGAGGCTTCTGTTATAAACCCCCATCGCATTTCTGTCACTTTTCCGTAAGCTGAATTTTATTTAAACCTATGGGTATTTTTTTTTAAAAAAAACATTTTTTTAAAAAAATGTAATTTAATTTTAATTTTTTTTTGGATTTGATGAACATCAGCCCTTTCAATTTTTCAGCCGCACTTTTCTTCCGAGAGGCTTTTGACGTTGTTGAAATATTGAATGTTGGCCACGCATCCCATCTCGTTCAATTTTGTGCATTCAATGAAATTGAGGAAATGAGGTGGAGGGGGGGGGAAGATCATTGACTCAAGAAATTGCAGTAATTACAAAGGCAAGACAAGACCGCAAGCACAACTCAAGATGAATTGACTCTCTTTTGCGATGGCTTATTAAGAGCATGTAAAATTCATGAAAGAAAATAAATTTTAGCCCCGTAGGTTCCAGCCAAATACATGAAAATAAGACCCAATGGCATTAATTATAGCTCGCAATGAGCTATAAATTGTCAGCTTAATAATGCCTATACTAGGGGTATGCACATTGAGGCTTGCGTTTTGGGATGTCTACTACTAGGTGAGCGCTTTGGGACGTCCTCCCGACGAGCCCGGACCCTCTGGAACTCCACCCCTCAGTCCCTCCGCCTTGCCCCCTGCCCTGCCTCCTTCAAGACCTATCTCAAGACCCTCCTCTTCGACTGTGCTTTCGGCCACCCTCCGATCCCTCTCCACCCTTCCTGATATCAACCACCAGCTTGGTTGCGGATCCCTGACTGTCCAACTCCTTGGGACGTCCTCCTGACGTGAAAGGCGCTTTGCAACTGGAATTTGTTATTGTTGTTATATGCGTTTAGAAGGACATTCTCTTAGTTTTTCTCCTTTTCTCTCTGATGTTACTGCTAGG